GCCTGTGAACAAAGAACAGCTATGCACCTCCACTACAGGAAATTATCAGACAAGAGCCAAGCCTGACATACTTAATTAGGGGCAATTAAGCCCGAAATTTGTCTTATCTGTTCCTGAAATCCAAAGTTATGTCGACATTCATCTGTCTCTCCTATTGACGGTGTCTGCTGCTCACCTCTTTTTCCCTCCCTTCTTACTTGCTACTTCCCGTTCTGACATACTGCTTCTTAAAAGTATATGAATTATACTTTCCAGATTAATAATATACAAGTAAATAGAATTGTTTAATTAAGTCTATGGGCAGCATGGTGGCTCAGCGGTTAGCACTGCTACCTCTCAGTGCCAGGGACATGGATTTGATTTCACCCTCGGGCAACTGTCTCTGTGGAGTCTGCATGTTCGCCTCATGACTGCGTAGGTTTCCTCTGGTTGCTCAAACTTGAAAGGCTCAAAATATTTACAAGGATTTTGCAAGGGTTGGAGGGTTTAAGCTATAGGGAGAGGCTGAATAGGCCGAGGCTATTTTCCCTGGAGCATCGGAGGCTGGGAGATGACTTTATAGAAGTTTATAAAATCATGAGGGGAATGATAGGGTGAATAGTCAAGGTATTTACCTCTAGGTAGGGGAGTCCAAAACTAAAGGGTTTAAGGTGAGAGGGGAAAGATTTAAAAGGAACCAAAGGGGCAACTTTATCATGTGGAGGTTGGTGTGTGTATAGAGTGAGCTGCCAGAGGAGGTGGAGGAGGTTGGTATAATTACAACATTTAAAAGGCATCTGGATGGGTATATGAACAGGAAGGGTTTAGAGGGATGTGGGCCAAGTGTTGGCAAATGGAACTAGATTAATTTAGAATGACTGGTCGGCGTGGACAAGGTAGACCAAAGGGTTTGTTTCTGTGCTGTACATCTCTATGACTCTATGTGCAGGTTATGTGGATTGGCTGTCCTAAATTGCCCGTAGTGTCCAGGGATGTTTAGGTTATGTGGTTTAGCCATGGGAAAAGCAGGGTCACAGGGATAGGGTAGAAGGGTGTGTCTGGGTGGGATGCTCTTCAGAGGGTTGGAGAGGACCTGATGGGGTGATTGGCCTGCTTCTACATTGTAGGGATTCTATGATATCTATGAAGTACTTGGAACATGTATTTGGGGGGCAGTGGTAGTTTCCCTACCTCTGAGTCAGAATGCCCAGATTCATGCCCCGTCTGCTCTCTGAACAGACTGATTTGAAAATATCAACCCTGGAGCACATATAAACAGAAATTTCTGGGACACAACAAATGTAGGTGAGGGAGGAAGCAAACATATATAATGCTGCACTCTGTAAACAAACCTATTATCAGGAAAGGACCTCACTATTTGAGGTAATTCACCACAAACCTCCCTACTCACCACTTCCTGAAACAGTAAGCTAGAGGGTTGGAATGGGGTTTGGTGAGTGGGAAGGAGGCAAGACAGAGAAGCAGTAAGCAGGAGGGCAGTAGCGAGTTCAGGGATAGAAGCAACACATCGAGAGAGGCGGCAAGCTAAAGGCTGGAAGTAGCAAGTAGTTGGTAATTTGAAAGAATAGTCGTTTAATTAGGGTTTCGGGTTTTAAATTAGTAAGGAAAATTTTGGGACAGTTAGGGCCTAAACTCTCCCATGTCCCAGCTCCCAACCCCACAAAGCCTGCCATTACACACCCCCTGTTGTTAGTCACTAACAGCCCCCATTAACAACTATTCACCCTCCCAGCCTGATCGTTAGCAACTCCTTTGTCTGTCCAACTGTCTTTCTCTCTCTTCGGGCTCTATCCTATCGTTTACTCCCTACCCCACCCACCTCCCTATTTTCTGCAAATAAACTGACGTTTTCCCAGCCACCATCAGTTCTGAGGAAGGGTCACCAGACCCAAAACGTTAACTCTGTTTTCTCCTCCACAGATGCTGCCAGACCTGCTGAGCTTTTCCAGCAATTTTGTTTTTGTTACCAATTTACGATCATTAGCCGTCCTCACAGTGTGATGCATTCTGTGTGCTAGAATCTACATACGTAAATTCTTAGGACTTTGCTTTATTTAGATGAAAGGAATTTGTATATGCATTGCACCTTCTTCAAAAGAAGGGGTCACGGAGACAGCCAGACTCTGCTTCATCCCATGGCAGTGCCCTAATCAATCAGAATTTACCTGCATTGTCTGAGAATTAAGGTTGACCAGTAACTATTCTTGCTGCATCTGCATGCCAATTATGGTCCAACCAGCCAGCCCCCTTTTCTAATGCTGTATGAAATGAATGTCTCTTTTTTCAAGTCTGTTTGCATCCTAATCCTGATGAGTGCTGTAGTAATTAGAACATAGAGCTATACAACACAGAAATGGGTCCTTTGGCCCATGAAGTTATGCCAAACGTGACACCAAATTAAACTAATCCATTCTGTCTGCCCTTGGTCCATATCGCTGTATTCCTTGCATATTCACGTGCTTATCAAAAAGTCTCTAAAATGCCCCTATCATATTTGCCTCCACCACCACCCCTGGCAGCGCATTCCACGCTCCTACCACTCTCTGTGTAAAAACCTTGCCCCTCACATCTCCTTTGAACTTTCCCCCTCTCAGCTTAAATGCACGCCCCTAGTTTTAGACATTTCAACTCTGGGAAAAATATTCTGACCGTCAACCCTATCTAATGCATCTCATAATTTTATAGACTTTTACCAAGTCTCCCCTCAGCCTCCACCTCTCCAGAGGAAACAACCTGTGTTTTTCTACCCTCTCCTTGTTGCTCATACCCTCTAATCCAGGCAGCTTCCTGGTAAAGCTCTTCTGCACAGTCTTCAAAGCCTCCACATCCTTCCTTGAATGTGGCGACCAGAACTAAATGCAGTACTCGAAATGTGGCCTAACCAAAGTCTTATAAAGCTGCAACATGACATCCTGACTCTTGTACTCAATTCCCTGTTACAAGATCAGCCAGATAAATTTCATAGAATAAAAATTCCCTGACTGGGGCTGTTAATCTGGTCCAATCAGGGAGCCCTGGCTGACAGATATAAACAGGGGTGTCAGAGGTTCTGTTCACTCTGAGAGCTAGCTCTGAAGAGTCTGGATCAGTGTCAAGGATTCTCTAAGTGTAAATAAAGGGTGATTTGGTGACGGGATACCAACCTCTGGAGTTATTTCAAGTGCAAAACAAAAAAGGTTCAACTTCTAGTCTCCTTTGAGTAATATTTAAGTTCTTCACTTGAAATTACTGTCAAGAGTGTCAAGATTCAGAGTCAGAGGGCTACCATTATGATATCACGTGGACTTGTGCTGCACGACAGATTTCACAAACTTTGCATTATCTTAGTGGTACACCTGCAATTTCAGTTTAATTGACAGCTCCTCATGATCATAGACTCTGAAATGGGACTATGAATACTACTGCTTGTTACTGTAAGGGTTAAGTACTTTAATGAAAGGTTTGAAGTTACAAGGGATCATATAGTCAAAGGGATGTAAATGTCGTGAATGTGTTTTTGTGAATGATTGTTCTTTCCAAAATAAAGTTTTAAAATACTTCAAACTTAGAATCTCAGCATTGATCCTGGGGTCTGCCATGATGAATATGGTAGTTGTAAGGACAAAGAGTTGAGGATGGGAGAGAATTGATTGGCATGAGTTGGAACTAGGTTGGCAAAGTGATTATAAAGGACCATGGGGTGTGAAGAGGCATAGGTTGGCATGAACGATATGAGGGATTATGGAGGGTGTGAGGGACCATGGGGAGTGGGCGGGAGCCATGAGATAGCGTGGGTTGGCATGAATAGGGTATGGGGACTGGCGGGCTGTTTTATGGTTTATTGATCTTTTGAAAAAAATCTTCAAGTCAGTCTGGAAACCTGAGGCAGACCTTCAGCCCAGCTCTCCTCCATACGTGTTTGGGAATTGCCTGGCCTGCCTGCCAGGGAATAGAGGCAATTGGGAACTTCCATGGTACTTCTTGCAGATCAGGTTTGCAGAGCCGGGAACTGTTCAGATTCCACACAGCTGACCCAGAAGCCAGGCCTGTGTCTCTATGAAGTTCACCCTCCAGTTCACAAGAGCCAATCCCTTTCCACATTCACAAAGCCACTTTACTGCTATTTGATTATGTTTGTTGATGTGAAAAAATCCCTCAGCTGTTTTCTTCACTACTCATAACAGCATTAAAGGAAATGCTCAATACACTGAAAGATGTTGCGTTTTTAATACATTCCATCAATTCAAATCATAAATCTCCTTTGGTCCTTCTATTTTGATTATCAAAATAAGACACAAGATTATTGTCTTGGAGTGTTACAATTCAGCTGCTCATCAAATAACTAAACTGCAAGCTATAATGTAAAATGGTAATGTGATTAAAAAATTAAATCGTAAGTTTAACGTCACATTGGTCAATTTAAAATTAAATTGAGTAAATGTGGTCATTTATGAATCAGTGTGTTGTCTTGTCAGTGGCCTGGGTGGTATTTTTCTTCTTTCTTCATATCTATAGCAGCTTTTTAATTAGATATGTCAGATATAGGTTTTTTGTTTGTTTATATTGGCAACACACTACCACATATTACCTGGATGTCAGTGCACATATCCAAATCTGTTCCACACTTGATGGAAAAAAAATAGAGGAAAGATTGGAGACCATTCTGGAGTACATTGAAATAATCTACAGTTAACAAAGGCATATGCAAGGATTTCAGCAGCTGATAATTTAAGGTGTGGCACAGATGGACAATGTTACAAAGTGGAAATGGTTGGTCTTAGTGGTGGCACAAACATGTAGTTCAAAGTTGGAAGCTCGATTCAGAAATCAGATATGGCACCAGGTTTGCAAACACAATGGCTGTCAGGGAGAGGTTTTAGAGAGTCGATTTGGGAACACAGTTTGGAAGGAAGACTGAAGATAATTGATTTGGTCTTTTGGATATTGGAGGAAATTTCTGCTCATCTAGTACAATTCCAGAAATACTCTAATGATTTTTTTTTTTCTGATTGCATCTTCAGGTTGTGTGTGCAGCACAGGCTTCAAGCATTGCAGCTCAATGTTATATCAGGTATGTAAAACCGAGGATACAGGAAGTTATTGTTATAGCTTTGTGTCTGTCCTTTTGAATTTTCAATTATAAAGAAAACACTCCCGTGTCTTATTTTCCATTAATGGCAAAAATGTGATTGAGCTAGCATCATTGGAACTCCAAAAGTACCTGACTAATCTTTGCAGCAGGATATACTTTTTTAACTTTGGAACAGGTTATTAGGATCTGACAAAGTTTGTCTCTAAAGGCAGCTGCCGTTCACTATTAAAAGAGTGGTTATTGGTGGTGTTAGGGGTAGACTGTTTGTAATAGTCCAGAAAAACTATGGGCAGCATTATTACTTTTGATGCTGGCTGGGGTGCTAAAGTGTACAATGGAATTAATAGAGGGAAAAATAATGTTAAACTTGTGTAGAACTTTGTTTAGACCACACTTGGAATAGTGGGACCTGTTCTAGTGACCATATTGTGAAAATGATTGAGAAACACTGGAGAAGATGCAAAACAAAATGAAGTGTTGGATATCATTGCTGAGAGATTTTAGTTTTCAGGAAAGACTGCATATACTCAGGTTCATTTGAGCAGAATAAAGACAGAGGGCAGGCCTGGTAGTGCACTTTAAAAGAGTTTAAATCAATATAGTCATGAATAAATTCAGTGAAGAGTTCAGGAGAAATATCTTTACTCAGAGCATGGTTGGAATATAGAACTGATGACAATATTGAGGAGTTGAGGCAGAGAGTATGGATGCATTTATTGGGAAGCTAGATAACTACGTGAGAAAGAAAATTTAAAGGATATGCTGATTGGTTGGTCATCAAGGCCTATTTAAAATTATATATAACATTTCAGTGAGGCCGAAAGCATACCCTACGGTGCTGCCATATTTTGGCTCCACAATTAGGCACATGAAGTCGTGAGTGGCAGTCTGCCTGCTCTTAGCACAGCACTGCAGCATCATCTCAGTCTCGGAAACTGAGGGCTGTGGTCTGAAGTTCCCAGAGCACTGCTGTTGCGTGGGCATGTTTAATGTACAGTGCAGTTTCATGTTTGTTCATTTTGGAAATTCCCAGCACAGGCCTTCTCCACATTCTTGCACCTGTAGGCCATATGATGTCAGTAGGTGCAGATGTTCAAATAAATCAAGTGCATTCTTCTGGTGGCTTGGCCAGTATCAAGTTATTTAGTTTTGTATTAATAGACTGAGCTACAGATTATTAGAAATGCCTATCAGGAGCATTATCTTAGTGGGCCACTTTCACTTGTGGACTCTTTCTTTTCCTTTGCAATTTCGTTCAGTTATATATGGCAGTTTGGATCATATTTGGTTATTGTGGCTTTATGAAAAAGAAATTTGGGTGCTAGTATTTTTTTGAATTAGTTGTTTACCACACTTAGTAAGATTTAAAGAACTTGCAGTTTTACATGCACTTCAGGATTTGTCATAGCACTTTACAGCCAATTAAGTACTCTTGAAGTGTAATCACTGTAGAAGACACGGCAGCCAATTTTCACACAGAAAGTTGCCACTGACAAGAATAGGATCATTATTAGATGTCCTGTTTGTGTGATAATGATTTCTTTGTAATTTTTTCATAGTACTGCTGCACTAAACCAAATACTTGATAGGGTTCATGAAATTATGTTTATTGTTAAGGATTTTTGTACAAGGTGCAGCAATTGGTGATGTAATGCAGTGCAATTGTGCTCCATCAGTGTTGGGATTTCAATTATTACTTATATATTCAGAACACGGCTGTGTAAAGTGGAGAGTGGTGGTTAATGGGGCAGGAAGAGCCAAAATCTCCACTCCCCTGCCTTCATCCCATGACCAACGCTCCCTCTCATCCCCGCCTCCTTGACCTGACACAATCTGTCCATCGTCTCTCCCACCTATCTGCTCCTCCCACTTCACTGACCAATCCCCACCATTTGCTATCTGCACTCACCTATCACCATTCCCACCTACCTTCACCAGCCCCACCCCTCCTCTCTATTTATTTTTGAGCTCCCTTCCCCCTCCCCCATTTCTGAAGAAAGGTCCTGACCCGAAACATCAACTTTCCTGCTCCTCTGATGCTGTCTGCCCTGCTGTGTTCCTCCAGCTCCACACTGTGTTATCTCTACAAAGGGTGAAAGTTGATTTTAAAAGTGAATTGGCAAGAAATGTTAAAAATGTGCAGCAAAAGCTTCAATGGGTGTATCTAATGTGAATGTAGGACCATTGGAGGATGCAATTTAGGAACTCATAACAGGGAAAGGGGAAATGGGAGATAATTTCAACCAGTATTTTTCATCAACCTTCAACATGGAAGAAACTGTAAACATCTTAAAGATATCAGATAAGCAAGGTGCTAATAGGAGGAGAGGTCTTGTTTGAAAGCCTCTGTCATGATGGACAAAGTATTTGGCAAGTTAATTGGACTGAAGGCAGACAAATCACTCGGAATTGATGGCCTGCATCCAAGGACTTTATAGGAAGTGGCTGTAGAGATGGTGGGGACATTGGTCAAAATATTCCTGAATTCTAACTGCTAATGTGACAACTATGTTCAAGAAGGAAGAAAGCATGAATCTACAGGTCAGTTAGGCTAACATGCATCGTTGGGAAAATTTTAAGAGTTCATTACTACATGCATTTAGAAAGATTCCATGCAGTCAAACAGAGTTGTCATGATTTTGTAGAAAGAAATCATGTTTGACAAATTTGCTGGAATTCTTTGAGGATATAACAAGCAGAGTTGATAAAGGGGAACAGATAGATGTAGTGGATTTGGATTTCCAGCAGGCATTCGAGAAAGTGCTGCATACGAAGTTATTGTACAAGATAAGAGTTCCATGGTATTGGGACAATGCGTCAGCATGGACTGAAGATTGGTTAACACACAGAAGACAGACAGTCAGGATTAATGGGTCTTTTTAAGTTTGGAAAGACACACGTAGAGAGAGCCACAGGATCAATCCTAGGACCTTAATTATTCACTATCCATATTAATGACCTGAAGGAAGGGTCAAATGTGATGTACCCAAATTTGTTGGTGATTTGAAAATAACTGGGAGGGCATTTTGTGATGAGGACATAAGGAACCTACAAGAAGGTATAGAAGAACAGAAAGTATGAGGCCATGCACTTGTGTTGGAAGAATCAAAATGAAAATTATTATTTGAATGGAGAGATTCTTCCAAAAAGTGCAGCACAGAGGGTTGTGGGTATAACTGCTCATGAAACACCAAAAATTAGCATGCAAGTGCAGCAAATGGTTCAGAAGGCAAATGGAATTTTGTTCTTTATTGTCGGGGGTGGGGGTTGGAGTTTAAAGATAGTAATGTCTTGTTGCAACTGTACAGGGTGCAGGCTTGGTCACATTTGGAGTAATATGCACAGTTTTGGTCGACCATATTTAAGAAGGGATTTACTGGCATTGAAAACCATTCAAAAGTGATTAGGCTGCTTCTGATGTGATTGGGTTGATTTATCAAGAACAGCTAAACAGGTTAGGTCTTTATTCATTACAGTTCAGAAGAACCAGGGAGAAGCATATACGCTTATGAAGGGACTTAAAAGGCAGATGTTGAAAAGGTGCTTCCAAGAGTGTGGGAGTCTCACACCAAGGAACATAGTTACAGAATAAGGCACCATTCATTGAAAACTGAGATGCAAAGGAATTTTGTCTCTCAGAAGATAGTAAATATTTGGAATTCTGTATCCCTTAACTTTGTGGAAGTTAGATCACTGAAAATATTTAAAGAGAAGCTAGATTTTCAAAATGCCACAGTGTTGAGTGCTGTGAGGAGCTGGCTCAAAATGAGAGTTGAGGCGATCTGGGACAGGTCAGATATGATTTTATAGAATGGCAGGCTTGAAGGGATGATTGATCTACTCCTAATTCAATTTTGTATATTCTAATATCAGAATTGATGCAGATTTATGAGAATACCCTGGACCATATGTTCTACGTTACTTTGTTTGACATGCGGAAATTGTCCGGTTGTGGGTTGTTCTCAATCTATGAGGCCACTAATAAGAGGAAGTTAATCAGTGGCTTCCCAATGGAGAATTCAAAAGAACTTTAAATTTAAAATGAGAAACATACTACCCCACCAGAGTAATTGAGGCAATTAATATAGATACTTTTAAGAGGAAACTAGAGAAGTACGTGAGAAGCAGTAGAAGGACATCTGGATTTAGATAAACAAGGGTGGAAGGCCCATGTGGAGCATAAAGAATGGCATGAATCTATTAGGCCAAATGGCCTGTTTCTTTGCTGTAAAAACTTTGTAATGTTAGCAGTGTTTCAGGGGTTAGATGTATGTTAGCACAGGAAAAAACATTTTTACCAAATATTTCCTTGATCAGTAAATTTTGTATTTTTTATTATTCTGTATAAATAAATTTGTAATGAGAACTGGATTTTTAATGATACCAAAATAAGTAAGTGAGTTGTGAAGAGAATGTAAAGAAATTGCAAAGGAACATAGATGTTAAGTGGGTGGACAGTTAATTGGCAGATGACATGTAATGTGCGAAGATGCAACATCTGTCAAAAGAAATAGATAAGTAAAACAGAGAGAGACTCTGGAATGTTGAAGTGCAGAACTATCTGGGTGTCATTTTATATGATTCACATAACAATATGATGTTATGGTGCCAATGTTGGACGAGAGTACACAAAGTGAGAAGTCACACAACACCAGGTTATAGTCCAACAGGTTTATTTGAGATCACCTGATGAAGGAGCAGCGCTCCAAGAGCTTGTTGTTTCAAATAAACCTGTTGACTATAACCTGGTGTCAGGTGTCTTCTGACTTTGTCCACAAAAAAATAGCATGCAGCTATAGCAAGTTATTAGGAAGACAAACGCAATGTTGGCCTTCATGGCAAGGGGCATGAGGTTAAATAAGTAGAGAGCTCTAATGTACAGGCCATTAGTAAGTCTGTGTACAGTTTTGGTTTCTTTAAATAAAGAGGAGTATACTTGCATTGGAAGCAGTTCAACTCTGGAGTGAAAGGTTGAGAAA